ACAAAGCCCAATGGCCCAAAGCTGGAAGCAGATAAATTCAAAAGAGAAAGATCCTAAAATACACACACACACACACACACACACACACTCTTATATATACACATATACATTATACAGACACACCCCTCCATTATACACCCCCCAATATATATATGCACATAAACATATACATACAGAGCCCTCCTCCAATATATATTAATTTATATACACACACAGCCCTCCAATATATACACCCCCCAATATTATACACACACACACATACACACACACCCCCTCCAATACACATACACACACCCCTCCAATATATATTCATTTATACACACACACAATATATATATATATATATGAATGAGAGAGAGAGAGATATTGATAGACCCACACACACATAAATATTATATTCACATACACCCCCACAGACATAGATCTGAGACTATGAGGGTGACTGATTGCTGGAACAAACCCCTGGAACGGGAAGCACTGGATTTCCCATTTCTTGACGTCTTCATACTGAAACGAGAAACATTTCTGGAGAAATGCTTAAGTGCAGCACAAGTTAGTGGTCTCTGCACAGTGGCAAGTGGATGAAATTCAGCAGTCCTTAGTTATAGAAGGAGTTGGATGATCTAATGGTCGTTCTGGTCTTAAACTATCAGAAGTGACCCAATTTCTTTGTTCCTCTATGTATAACCTTGCATTTGGCTCTTTGTATTGCTCAAGCCAGCAGGTTACATAGGACAATGCTAATACAGAAGTACCACTACCGAAATACGCAGAACAATGAATACACTTGTAATGATAATAGCCAGCTTGGAGAAAGGGATGGTGCATGTAATCAAAGACATGCATTCCTATCTCGCGGTAACAGTGTTCCCGGCTGGGAGCCTCAGCCCTGTCCCAAAAGCTGCTCCTGCCCTGTGGCCTATCAAAGTTACTAGGCACATGAAGAACAAAATTGCCACTCAGAACTAAAAACGGCACAAGCTTTCAAGAAAATAATGCCGATTTATTAGAGGTACATGCACAAATGCCACCACGGAGAAATGGAGGACTTGCAAGATCTCTTTGTATGCATGCACTTCTATCTGTTTCCGTTCAAAAATAGATCTCTCATTCAACAAAACGTCCGTTCAAATGACGGCGGTCTGCAGACACATCAGTAGGGTCCTGGAGGAAGGATCATCAGCAATACCGGTGCACAGATCCTGGCTTGGGGCAGGCTTGCTTCTGGCTTCTTGAGGAGCCTGGTAGAGGGGGAACAATGACTTCCCATTGTGGAAGAGGGGAGGCAGGGTTTGGCCGGGATGGGTTAGGTAGCCCAGGGTGAGGGGCTGCATGGGGTCACTACAATTCTAGCTGTTGTGATGAACAGAAGGCCAAAAAATGGATGATGAGATGCCAGCGACACTGTTCAGTATCTATAACCCCATCCTGGAACGTGACAGCAGCTGGCTACACCTGGCGTCCAGAAAAGCTGGAAGCAGCACACCACACGCCAGGTGGCACGCCGGTTTGTAAACAGGTCCCACCATCAACCTGTGCCCGGGCTCATGCTGACAGCAGCGAATGTCCTGGAGCCCACCTCATGGAGGGCACGAGGCAGGAAGCACCCCCCAGGGAAATGCTAGCCCTGGCCCACGTGCCAGGTGCAGATGGGCAGCGAGGACTTCTCCATACGAGGATGGCTCCATGCCCACCGATGGGCGCATCACCCGGCTGTGGCCCTGAGCACCTCGGAGCGAGCCAAAGGGAATGGTCCCTGGGGTAACTGACCTCGCGGGACCTACTGGCACAGCCACCGAAACACAAGAGCAGCAGCAAAGGGTGGCCCCAGGCAGGTCATCTTCCAGCTTCCTTCTCTCCCTGCCAAGCCTCAGATACCTGGGGCCCGGGTGGAGCTGTGGCTTCCTCCCAGCTGGCATCAAACTCCACGATGTGTAACAGGTCTCCTGAAGGGAGGGCAGCGGTTCTGCCGAGGGATTCCCCATGGGGGAAGATGACCTTTGCCACCCACGTCCATCCTCCAAGACGGACGCCTCTCGAGCGACCCCGGAGCTGAGCATCGTGGCTCCCGGCCGTGACCCGAGCTGAGGGGAGAAGAGGGCAGTGCGCAGCATGGAACAATAAATAAACCCACGTGTGTCCGGAGGTGCTGGAAAGGCCTTGCTGGACTCCCGGAGCTTCCCCCCTTTCCTCCCGCGGCAGCAGGAGGGTGCAGCGAGCAGGGCCCACACGGGCACGGGGCTATCTCACAGCGATGGACATCCTGGGGGTGGCGAGGAGCGGCTGGTCCAGGGGTGGCCACGGCGGCTGCTGCCGCCTCAACTCCTCCTCCACCCTCTTGAACAGCTTTTTGGAGGTTTTCTTCCGCCGCAGCTTCCGCAGCCAGTTG